GGGTGTAGATTTTATATCCTACTGGTTTCATTTATATCATAATAAGCATGTTCTGATTTGTTAGTGATTTGTGGTAATGGTCATTTTAAATGATTCCCGAAAAGTCTTTTGTGGATGGATGAACCGCACCTTACTTAAGCACGCCTCTATTATTGAACAGACCAACATAATTTTTAATTACCGATATGAATATTTTCAGCATTTTATTGGGAAGTCTACTACCATTTTTTTTTTTTTTTTTTTTTTTTTTTTCATATACATGCGTTAGCATATGGGGCTTTCTCTAGTTGCAGCGAGCAGGGGCTACTGTTTGTTGTGGTGCGTGGGCTTCTAGTTGTGCTGGCTTCTCTCGTTGCAGAGCACAGGCTCTAGGAACGCCAGCTCAGTAGTTGTGGCTCGTGGGCTCTAGACCACAGGCTTAGTAGTTGCGGCGCATGGACTTAGTTGCTCCGCGGCATGTGGGATCTTCCCGGACCAGGGCTCGAACCGGTGTCCCCTGCATTGGCAGGTGGGCTCTTAACCACTGCGCCACCAGGGAAGTGCTAACTTTTTTTTATAACTAGGATTAATTATTACTATACCATTATATCTGAAATGCATAGTCAGCTTTTTCAAGGCATTTGTGAGTTTGTGTTACTCTAAAACATTTTTGTGAGCAAAAATTAATGCAGGTGGAAATCGGTATTTATTTATTTATTTATTTATGTCTGCATTGGCTCTTCGTTGCTGCGTGCGGGCTTTCTCTAGTTGCAGCGAGCAGGGGCTACTCTTCATTGTGGTGTGTCAGCTTTTCATTGCGGTGGCTTCTCTTGTTGCGGAGCATGGGCTGTAGGCGCACGGGCTTCAGTAGTTGTGGCTCGCAGCCTCCAGAGCGCAGGCTCAGTGGTTGTGGCACACAGGCTTAGTTGCTCTGTGGCACGTGGGATCTTCCTAGACCAGGGATCGAACCCGTGTCCCCTGCATTGGCAGGCAGATTCTTAACCACTGCACCACCAGGGAAGCCCTGGAAATCAGTGTATTTTAAACCTAGCATGGGGATATGCTAAAAAAGAAATTTTTACACAAGTGGCGTTCTTCCGCATCTGCGTTGTGGCTCCAGCTGAGGCAGCCACCAGAAATAGGGCCACGATTCATCCAGTGGGTCTTGGAAAAAGGAAGGCTTACACAATCCCTCACATGTACCCAGGGCCACCTTGCAGATCGCTTTCTCCCCAAGAAGCATAAAAGGACTGAAGCATACTGTGGTTGCAAATCACTTTTAATGTGAGTGATGACGTTAAAAAGTTACTCCAGATAAATACTAGAATTGTATTATTGTTTAGGGCACTGAAGTGCTAATTATTGCTATAGACAAGCCACCTAGGTCAGAGGAGTTTGGAATGACATTTGATAGCTAGTTTGGCTCTTAGTCCTATGAATTAATATAAGAAATAGGACTCTCCATCAAATAGATTGAGGTCATTTAATAGTAAGGTTTTGGGGCTTCCCTGGTGGCGCAGTGGTTGGGAGTCTGCCTGCCAATGCAGGGGACACGGGTTCGTGCCCCGGTCTGGGAGGATCCCCCATGCCGTGCAGCGGCTGGACCCGTGAGCCATGGCCACTGAGCCTGCGCGTCCGGAGCCTGTGCTCTGCAACGGGAGAGGCCACAACAGTGAGAGGCCCGCGTACCGCAAAAAAAAAAAATATATATATAGTAAGGTTTTTTTGTTGTTGTTCTTTTTTTTAAAGACAATATTGGCTTAGAACTAGAAAGCCTTTGGGTGAGATTAGATGCTTTTATAATTTGATAATTAGAGAGGGGACACTCAGTGACCACGTGGGGCTAAAAAACTCTTCTGAGACCATAGATGTCGCATATTTAATGCTCGCCTCTTCCCTTTTATCCTTTGTAAGAAATTTAACTCGTGGTTGTTTTCTCCTATGCTTCCCGTCACTAGCTTGAAGGCCTCATAAGTGCGTGGTTACAGGGTGGAGCTGGGAGACGATAGACTATTCCAGAAACACATAGTATAAGCAGAAGAAACAGTGGACATCAATTCATTTTATTGTTCCTCGAAGGATGTGAACCCTGCTTTTCTGAGTATCAGAGCCCCTGGGGCCTCCCAGGCCGTTAGACCGAAGACCAAGAAGCCTCAGTGTCCAGGGAACTGACACCCATTTATTAGTTCGCAGCACTCCCCTACAGCCTTGCAGGGAATCGGTACAGTTCTTCTGCCAAAGCCAAAGTAGTGGGCCTAGCCTCGATGTCCTACCCTGTATTTCCCAGTCCCTGAGCTGGTGCTGGTTGTTTTAACAAGCCACTAGGAACACTCTGGATGCTCCTCAAAACAGAGCGGTGTAGTCCTAAAGGGACCATCTAGGGCAAAGGGTGAAAAACCAGATCTCTCCCCTCTGCAGGGTCCCCCCTCCACGCCTACCTGCACTCTCCATCTCTCCCCTTGCCAGTGAGTGCCTTCCATCAGAGAATGGTGTCTTGCTCATCTTTGTATCCCTGTACAGCTCTCACAGGACCTGCCACAAAACTGGCCCTCAGTAAATAGCCCTGAAATGAATAAGTATGTTTCTCATTCCATCTTCAGCTCTATCACTTAGAGGGCAGGAATCCCGTGTCACTAACTTAGCGTTACTGTCTGTTATCCATCCTTCTTGTGTATCAGAATTTAATCTTCACATTTCTTTTATGTATCACTGTCATTTCACACGTCTTTCCGTGGACATCAGAAGCCTGGTGAGGCGACCGTTCTACCAGGGCTGTGCTAATAAACGCACAGGTGGCCTTCTGATGCCGCTGATTATAGTTGATCTTACTAAGGTTTTTTGGGGGGGAGAGGGGTTCTTGTTTGTGTTTTCTTTGCTAAATAAAAACCAGCTGAAGTACCAATAAAAAGATCACATTAAGATTGTGTATACTACACGAGAGTAGGAATTATCTTTACTTTATATGATTCTGCACCATTGGTCCTGGGAATAAAGTACTAGCTAGTGGTAATAGTGAGAGGCATTCCTTTCTCTGTATGCCCTCTACTTATACCTTAAAGTCATAGAGAGGTTTCTGTGTGCTTGAGGAGGGTTGCCTGGGTGTCCGTATGGGTGTGCGGTAATATGAATGTATATATGTATGTGTGAGAAAGGAGAGGGTTTGTTTGTTTTTGCTTTGGGGGCTTTTCTTTGGCTGCGTTGGGTCTTTGTTGCTGTGTGTGGGCTTTCTCTAGTTGCGGCACGCAGGCTTCTCATTGCGGTGGCTTCTCTTGTTGCGGAGCACGGGCTCTAGGCGCATGGGCTTCAGTAGTTGTGGCATGTGGGCTCAGTAGTTGTGTCGGCCCCCGGGCTTAGTTGCTCCGCGGCATGTGGGATCTTCCCAGACCAGGGATCGAACCCGTGTCCCCTACATTGGCAGGCGGATTCTTAACCACTGCACCCCCAGGGAAGCCCCAAGAGGAGAGTATTGTATGTAGAGAAAGAGGCCGGCGGTGAGTCAGGGAGCAGCAGAGGCGGGCGAGGCTGGCAGGTCCGTCCGTGCCTTGGGTGTGGAAGAAAACGTTCACAATTTCATCCTACAGATGCTTGTAGTCCCCAGAGACACAGTTCCCGCCACCGTTTTTGTCAGAGCCATATTAAACGTTTAGTAAATTGTATCTAAGTTGTCAGTGTGGACGGCTTGCTGTTTGATGCGGTATAAATTATTAGTGAAGTCTGTGTCCTTCTGGCTTTACTTTCTGGCATTGTAGATTTGGTTTTCACAAACAAGATGTAAATCAGTGCAATTCATACAGGCCAGTGAAAAGAGTAAAGAGAATTGATACTCGAATCATCATTGACTTCTCCCCCGACATATACTACTTTATTTATTTGGGGTTTTTTTTTTTTTTTTTTTTTTTTTTTTTTTTTTTTTTTTTTTGCGGTACACGGGCCTCTCACTGTTGTGGCCTCTCCCATTTGTGGAGCACAGGCTCCGGACGCGCAGGCTCAGCGGCCATGGCTCAGGGGCCCAGCCGCTCCGCAGCATGTGGGATCTTCCCGAAACGGGGCACGAACCCGCGTCCCCTGCATCGGCAGGCGGACTCTCAAGCACTGCGCCACCAGGGAAGCCCTATTTGGGGGTTTTTTATATGGTAAAATATACATAGCATATCATCTTAATCATTCATAAGTGTGCAATTCATGGCATTCAGTATATGCCACGAATGGCATATAGGCCAAGGCTTGGGATGGTTACACCATCACCACTAACTACACCCCAAACCTTTTCATCATCCTCAACAAAAACTCAACACTCCCTAAATAATAAGTCCTCACCTCCCCTCAGCCCCTGGTAATCACCATTCTACTCTCTGTCTCTATAAATTTGACTATTCTAAGAACCCCATACAAGTGGAATCATACCGTATCTGGTTTATTTCATTATGCATAATGTTTTCAACGTCCGTCCACGTTGTATCATAATATATCAAATGTTCACTCATTTTATGGCTGTATAACATTCCATTGTATGGCTATACCACGTTTTGTTTATCTATTCATTTGTCAGCGGACACTTCGCTGTTTCCACCTCTTGGCTGTTGTGAATAATGCTGCTGTGATCATGGGTATGCAATAGCTGCTTCCAGTTCTATTGGATATATACCTGGAAGTGGTGGGTCATATGTTCGTTCAATGTTTAACCTTCAGAGAGGCTTAATTGGCTTCTTCTCGTGCCTCAGGTTTCAGTGTAAAAAGGACACTCCTTCAGAAATACTTTTCCTTACTGCCTGTTCAAAACAGCACCCCACCCCCAAACCCCTTCCCGACACACACCATCATATCCCCTCCTTGGTTTCCTAGCTGGGTGATCCCTAGTTTATTTGACCCCTTTCTGTGATCCTCCCACGGGATCATCAGCTCAGGGAAGCCAAACCTTATCTCTTGCTCTCTGCTGCCTCTGCAGTACCCAGAATAATGCCAGGCACACACTGGGCAGCCAGTCCCTGCTCGTTGATGCTCTCTGTTCTCTTCTCTTCCAGTCATGGATACAAATGACCGATTTCTACGAAAAATAACCATCGGGCAGGGAAACACAGAGAAGGGCTATTCTCGGCAGGTAGGTGGTCTTTTCTCCAGGGAGGACTCTGCTCTTGCACTTAAAGCGGCCCAGAAGCTGGTTCTCCACATTTCTCTTCTTGTTCTTCCACCCACAGTAACCAGTGGGCCCCTAATGAGTCAAGGTATTTCTTCCAGTCCCTCAGCAGGACTGGGAAATCATCAGGAGACAGAAAGTCTCCAATATTATTTTGCCGTCCTTTTTCTTTGTGATTTTAGTTGTGTTTCTGGTAAGAGCCATTCAGGGTGTCCCTTGAATATACATTCTAACATATTTTACTGCCAGCCCACCCAGTTAGTACTATATCTGCATAACAACTGAAAAATGAAAATCTCAGACACATTACTCACGTTTCATAAACCAAAGAACAAACACCCAGTTATTTGGCTTAATAGCCTGAGAAGTTGTTAAGGATAATGTCTTATTACCCAAATCCAGAAAATGTAGGATTTAAATTATGATGTCCACCTTCATTTTAATAGGTCTCCAGGGTGGGGTGATGGTGCTTAGTGAATATCAATTCATTCTATGATTTTTCAGCCAGGCCTAGCAGGCCTCTAAATTATTATTTTTTGTAGTAAACTTGATAGCTTAAGACACTTTTAGATTTATGGCCTTTACATTGTTAAGTTTTTATTAACCTAAAAAGAATCACTTTTACTATAGCATTCAGTCCTCATACCAAATAGACTTTTGGATCTTTTGAAATATTTGAATTAAAAAGTGAATCTGAACAACAAGGTCCTACCCTGTAGCACAGGGAACTATATTCAATACCCTGTGAGAAACCATGATGGAAAAGAATATAAAAAAGAATGTGTGTGTGTGTGTGTGTGTGTGTGTGTGTGTGTGTGTGTGTCTGTGTGTGTGTAAAACTGAGTCACTTTGCTGCACAGCAGAAATTAACACAACACTGTAAATCAATTATACTTCAACTTAAAAAAATTACATTTCAAAAAGTGAATATGAGGATTGAATCGAGAAGACAAGCTAAGTAAGCCCCTACTCCATCCCTCCTCCAAATCCTGGAACTTGCACACACAAACAGATTTCAAATAGTCAGTATCCTTGCTAGAAAACCAGAGTCACAGCCATACTCTTTGGGGAAGCTTCTAAAAAGATAGGAAGATGGAATTGGATGGGTGGAGAAAAGCACAAACCGAAATATGGTATAAGTATTGGAGGGGGTCACTAAATTCAAAGGCATTAGATACCCTACTTCTCAGATACAGGAGAGGGATGGGGACAGCTCCCCAAAAAACTGGTGCACAGGCACCTTCCTGGGACACCTGTGTTGAGACACAGCCAGTGGTACATTGGTCTCAGCCTTGGGGCCCAGCCGCGGGGGGCGGCTCACATCAAAGTCACAGATTTGCTTGTGTACCGTGGCTGGCAGTGAAAAGCATCTGGTGCAAGGAAAAGCAGTATATTGTGACACTTAGGAAAGGGCAGCCTTTTGTCATTTGCACAGTGGGCAACCTCGGGACTAATCCTGTGAGAGACTGCAGGACGGGAAGCCAAGGAGCAGCATGTCCTATGTCCTACTCTCTTGAATGTCTAGAGACAGGGTGAGGTTGTCAGAAATCAGGTCCCCAGACAAGGAAAAGGGAGCATCAAAGCCAGGAATCGTCTGTATTAAAGGAAAACACATATCATGAACATGGACACCAGACGCAGCAAAGAGAAGCTTAGATGCCCTAGACGAGATTGCAGATCAGATGCGGGGGCGGGGCGGGGGGGACTTTGAAGAGATTACCACCAGTATTCTCAGAGGCTTAAGGGAACTGTCCTACAAGGATTGAGAATTAGCTGTTGTGGGGAAAAAATGGGTTAAAATCTTGGAAATAAAACTGTAGTGTCAAAAGAAAAATCCAGTTAGCAGATTGAATAAGAATAGGGTTAACTGAATGAGAGAGGAAAGTTCAATCTAAGAAACTCTCTCAGAACATACTACCAAAAGGAAAACCATAGAAAATATAAAGGAAAGATCAAGAGACATACGAGACACACGGAGAAGTTCTAATACTCATCTCAAGTTACCGGTGAAAGTAACAGAGAATGTAGGGAAGAATGTATTTGAGGAAATAGTAAAAGGGGAATTTATTGATTTTAAGGAAAATTTAGAATTTTCATATTAAAAGGCTTAACAAGTCTTTTATAAATGAAGTAGACTTACACCCAGACACATAATGTTGAAATTTCACAACACTAAGGGTAAAAAAAAAAAAAAAATTCCAAAGAGCTGCCAGAGAGGAAAAAAGTGTTGATGAGTCACAAAGGAGTAAGATTCAGATTGTCATCAGACTTCTCATTGACAGCACTGAATGCAAAAGGTGACACTGGGAAAACCGATTTGGAGTTCTGAAGGAACAGGATTTTCAATCTAGAATCCTTGAATAGAAAGGAAAAAAAATTTGGAACAGAAAATGCAAAATAAGCTGGCATAAGTCAAACACAGTAGTTTGGCCTAGTAGAATTGGCACTGACATAAAAAGCAGAAACTCTTAACGAATAGATAATTTTGACATAAATAAAAATTAAAATCTTGCATATGGGAAAATGATTTACAAAATCAGTAAAAGACCAGTAAGAGTCTGGGAGAGGTTATTTGCAGTATAAATATAACAACGGGTTAAAGTGCCAAACATAAAAAGAATTTCCATAAATTAATACTCAAATACTGCTCTCAGTAAGGCCTTCACTGGTCACCTTCTTTAAAACTGCACCTGCCCGTCGCCAAACTCCCTCTTTCTTTCCCTGCTATCCTTACTTATTTGTGTATTTTCTGCCTCCCCCCACTAAGATGTGAGTTTCATAAGGGCAGGGGTTTTGGTATGTTTTGTTCACTGCTGTATTCTCAGTGCATAGGACTTTGTTACATAGGAATAGTAGGTGTTCAATAAATCTGTACTAAAGAAATGGATAGGATAAGTAAAAGATAATAAGACTTACCTATGAGCTCATTAAAACATAAATAAATTAATATTAAACGTTAGTGAGGATGCAAAGAAATAGAGACTTTTATACAGTATTAGTGAGAATATAAATCGTAAAGCCTTTTGGATGATAGTTTGTCAGTATTTAAAATTTGAAATGTCAGAACAATTCTAACTTCAGGACTACAGATTTTTCTTAAAAAGGGGGGAATATTTACTCAGGTACAAAAAAAAAATCTATATATAGGATACTAATTGCAGCATTTTTTGTAATGGTGAACATTGGAAGCAATCCAGTGTTCATCGTTAGGGGTGGTTACATATATTTGGTGTATCCTTTTGCACAACAGAAACAGGTAGCTGTTGAAAATGATAAAGTGTATATCGGGGGAGTGACATAGAGCTCTCATACAGATTGTGAAATTGAGGGTTTGTCCATACAAACGTATGGACACCAAGAGGGGAAAGTGGTGGTGGTGGTG